TGGGGGAGCCGCCGGTGGGCGGCTGGCCGCTTTGGGCCCTGGGTCGCCCGTTTGCTGTAAGCCGGCCTTCCCTCTGAGGAGGTTCTCCGCAGCCTGCTGTTGGGAGGGACCATGCTCGGAAGGCAAAACCGCAGGACGAGGGAGAAAATCCTTGCTGTTGCAAGTGACGGGCCGTCGGTTCCTCTGGCCGCTCACTCGCTGTCAGTGCACTTAATGCTGTTTAGCGTATGCTTAATCTGGGACCCTGTGGCCTGCTGAAAGCACGTGAGTTTGGGGAGGGGAGCTTTAACCTCCCCTAGAACCGTCATCCTCTGAGCGGGCAGCGCCATCAGGGGCCTCACGCCTTTGTAGCCCGGTCACGCTGTGGGACGTGACGTGCCCTGGGAATAGCAGAGCCACAAGGTTAACGCATGGCTCTGAGCGGAGGGTACTGTTCTTGCGCCTTTTAGAGTGGTTTTGGAGTTGTTCTGCCTTGGCATGACAGTGATGTTTAAAGCTGGTCTTCTCATGCCCTGTCCAACCTTTCCAGGAGTATGCATCTACCGTGCGGAGAGCAGTACAGTCTGGCAGCGTCAACTTGAAGGACAGGCTCACCATTGAGCTACACGGTGAGCGAGCAGGATCTGCTGCCTTTAGTCCTCCTGCTGAGGAAGGTTTTGAAGTAAGAGGCCTTTCCAACCCTGGGCTTTGCAGTTAAGGCTTCAGGGCTTCTATATGTATCAAACAGAAGCCGCTGGGGAGAGGTGCACTTGGCCAGTATCTGCTTTGCCGGACGGCCTTGCTGTCAGAAACACATCTGCCCTCGAATGAGGAACTGTCTGCTCGCCCGGCCACGCAGCCTCTGCAGCAGAAGTGTGCCTTAGTAAAACCTGCTTTCGTTCTAACTGGCCTGGTTTTCACACCTGCTTCTGCTGTGTCAGGATGGAAGAGCCTGCTTACCCCACGCGCTCCCCAAAACAGCCTGGCTCGATAGAAACTCCCGGCCGTGCTGAGCAGCCCATCTTCACCCACGTGAGGCCATGTCTTTAGTAGCGCCTCTTGGCCTGATCTTGCTGATTTCTGCAACCTCGAAAATGTGTGTTCTCACCTCAGCTTCCCAGTGCACATCAGAAAGGCTTGGGATTCTGAGGTGAAAATGTTGGTTCAGGTGAAACATCAGCTGTGTGGTGTCGCTCGCTGTTGCGCTAACAAGGACGTGATTGTTGGTCAAGAATCAGGCCGAGGGGCAACGGGCACGAACTGAGACACAGGAAGTTCCGCTAGAGCTTAAGAAAACGCTTGGTTGCTGTGAGGGTGTTTGAACGCTGGAGCAGGTTGCCGTGAGAGGTTGTAGAGTCTCCAACCTTGGAGGTATTCAGAACCCATCGTGGTCCTGGGCAACCTGCTGTAGTCAACCCTGTTGCAGCAGGGGGCTCGGACAGACAATCTGCAGAGGTGCCTTCAAACTGCAGCTACTCTTGTGATCCTGTAAATGACGGACCTTCAGGAGAGAGTTCACGTGCCTGCCCTGGCACGAGAAGGCTCTTCCCCCAGCTGTAGGGTGCAAGCCAGCAGTCTGCCCTTCTGCTCTGACATGAGACCACATTGCTAAGGGCATCTTAAAACTCCTGTGATTGCCCGCAAGCGAAACTGCACAGAACTTGGGTTTTCCTGCCTCCTGCATGTATTTTCCTGTGAAATTTCCTGCCCAGGAGTCTATTGTTCTGTTTAGTGAGCTGTCTGCAGCACTAACCTCTCCTTTGGCTTTCTGCAGCGGATGGGCGCCATGGGATTGTCCGCGTAGACCGAGTTCCATTGGCAGCCAAGTTGGTGGATCTGCCCTGCATCACTGAGAGCTTAAAAACCATTGATAAGAAAACCTTCTATAAGACAGCAGATATTTGCCAGGTATGGGCCATCCTTCGTTCCTACCCCAACAGCTTCTTTGCTGATTCCCCTCTCCAGGAAAATCCTGGTATGCTCTGCCAGTAGAACACCTGACATAACATAGCTAATTTCTCTGTTCTTACACTATTAGCCGTTTAAAATTCCCCACCCCTGCCTGGTGTTTGGGAATCTCCCTTTTCTGAAGCATGACACTTCACTGTCCTTATAACAGCTTAACTGCAGCTGTGTTTAGTCATGAACTGTGTTGGCTGTGAAACATGGTTTTCCTCATCCCCCCCGTGCCTGTGAATCCCTCTGGCTAACTACGTGCAGTAGAAGTCACTGTTGATTTTCCTGAAAAGCTTTCACATCCTTTTTCCCTTCCGTTGCCATAAGCAAGCTTTGTGTTTGTGGGGGGGATTTCAGATGCTTGTTTGCACTGTGGATGGTGACCTCTATCCCCCTCTGGAAGAGCAAACCGTGAGCACTGACCCCAAGGCAAACAAGAAAAAGGACAAGGACAGAGAGAAGAAGTTCATCTGGAACCATGGCAGTGAGTAGAGGTTCTGCGCACCCCCCCGTTCCCATAGCTGTGCAGGGTGTTCACCGCTGCCATGTGTCGACAGTGCTGCTGCACCATTTTTAGTGCTCTCTCTGAGTCTGCCAGACCCGGCTCTCCCCTTAGGCCATCTGCCTGACACATACAATCTGTTTCCTTTGTCGCAGTTACTCTTCCCCTGAAAAATGTGCGGAAGAGACGATTCCGGAAAACAGCTAAGAAGAAGGTGAGTTGTTTCTCCCTCACGCTGATACAGGTGCGGATACGATAGCCAAGGGAAAGAAAAGTGGAGGCATTAGAGCTCTAGCTGTCTATCAGTCCGGAAAACATGGAGTTTCTTAGCTTTGCGTTACATATTTCCTCGCCAGAGAAGAGGGAAAAGGGGAGACTAGTACCTCTGAACATTTCCTTGGTGCAGAGCATGGGTAGGCTCCGTTGCTGTGGCTGCCTTGCCACAGTGCATCTCCTTCTGCTCACAAAGAAGAAAGGAAGAGTCCCATGCAAATGAGACTTCACTCATTGCTGCTTTCCCAGCTGGAATCCTAACTCTGTGCATTGCCCGATCACTTCCCCAGCAAGTAACACTACAAATAGAATAACTGTCATTTCAGCTGGGGGAGTGGGAACAGATGGAGCTCGGAGACGGTGTCTCTGTGCAAATGCACAAGCCAGGAAAGGTGTTGGGGAGGTGCAGCACCGTGAGGCTAGGAAGACTCATTCTTCTTGCTCTGCAGTTTCTTTCTGAGAACACGATGGAGTGATATTTTGCATGACATTTGGGAAACAAATCACTTTAGACATTCTTATAGCCCACAGAAAAGGTGTGGTGTCAGTAATTAAGATCCCTGGCTAATTTAAAAGTGAAAAATGAAACCTTCTTTTGAGTGAGAAGAGAGGGACTTGAGTTGTCTATCCATCAGTGAATTGCACCTTGAGCACTTCCAGTATACACACAGAATGTCTGATTTCATAAGCGCTCTTGATGGCTGCCAGAGTGAAAGAAAAGTGAGAATATGCAACCCACCAAGGAGCTCTGTACAGAAAAAGATGGGGCACTTTCTAGAGATGCAAAAATACCTTCTTGGGTGGAGCATGAGTGAAGGCCAAGTAAAAAGAATAAGAGCAGAGAGGCTCAAAATAGGGCTCTGTCCAGCAGTGGAAGCTGGGAGCTGACCAGTGTGCAGCAACCTGTACAAGGTATTTAACAGTGTCTCTGTTGCCTTTGCCTTTTCTGCACCAGTATATTGAGTCTCCTGATGTGGAAAAAGAGGTGAAGCGTCTCCTGAGCACCGATGCTGAAGCTGTCAGTGTCCGTATCCTTTCAGGAGCAAAAAAAAAAAGGCAGTAGGTGTGATCTGGAACTGTGGAAAGGAGAGACAAGTTCAGCTTGGTGCGTGGGTGTGAGAGATTCAGAGATGAGCACACAAGAGAAACAGAAGTTAGAGCTTTACCTTTGCCTTGTTCAAAGCGTGTTGTTTCTCCATGGGGATCTTCCTTGGGGACTGTGCTCATGCACTGAGCACAGCATTAAGTAACAGCAGAGGACAGGCCTTCAAAGAACAAACACCAGGGTGGCTCAGCCTGGAAATCTATAGCTGCAAGGCCAGAGGGAGCAGTGATCTCCTGCAGATTTTAGCTTTCTGTTGTTGTACTGCATCTTCCATGGTCCTCTTTTTCCCTTGACTCGTTCTGTTCCTGCTGTCAGGCTGGGAAGTCATTGCTGAAGATGAAACTAAAGAAGTGGATAACCATGGCTCACTCACCAGCCTAGACATCTCCTCCCCAGGGATGTCTGGACATAAACAAGGCCATGGCTCCTCAGGTACCATGGGGAAGGCTATCGTTTTGTTTCTAGCCATAAAGTAATCAGTGGGGCCTGTTCTCTCTGGGGTAAGCTGGAACCAGAGACCTCGCAAACACATGCAAGATGTGCATGGGTGTCACCCTGGGTGCAAGGAGAGGCCGGTGTGTCACAAGCCTGTAATCTGCTGGATCAGGTACCCATTTGCCGTAGCAGTAGATAACAGCTATGAGAAAGACCCTGTGCACGCTGTAGTTAGTTTGGGTAGCAATGTCTGAAGGATAGCAGGCTGCATGGAGACAGGCACCGTGTACTGATGAGGCCCCTGACAGATGAAGGGTGCTGGGCCATCATCAGCTATGTTTGTCCTCTCCTTTTGCACCACCTAGAACATGATGAACTGCGGGAGATATTTAATGACATCAGCAGCAGCAGCGAAGATGAGGATGAGAGGGATCATCATGATGACGAGGATCTGAACATCATGGACACGGAGGAGGACTTGGAGAGGCAGTTGCAGGACAAGCTGAATGAGTCTGATGGGCAGCAGCAGGAGAACGAGGGGTCCAACCAGATAGGTGAGTCAGGCGGCAGAGCGCAGCAGGATGTGGTGTGCTAGGCAGGCTGCGCTGCCCAGCTCCGCTGCTGCTGCAGATCTGAGCTTGCTCTCTCCCTTAGTCATGGGGATCCAGAAACAGATCGACAACCTGAAGAGTAAACTCCAGGAGACCCAGGACAGGAGGAAACGCCAGGAGGATCTCATCATGAAAGTAGAGAACCTGGCCCTCAAGGTGAGAGCTCTCTTGGGACCTCTTCTTCTAATCTTGTGTTCTGTTCAGCACCAGCTTGATATTAGACCCAGCAAACTGATTCAGCTGTTGTCCTGGAAAAGCCAAGGGGCCTTTGTGTGCTGGGTTAAAACTAACTGCGGCATGGCCATACACTCCAGCATTTCCCCATGGAGGCAAGGCAATCCAAGAACCTGTACAGGAGATAAGGCCCCTGGCAGTCAGCACAGTTTGGGGTTTGCTGCACCACTGAACACATTGTGCCAGCAGCTGTTCAGCTGAGAGCACGTTGGTAATTGTAGTCTGGTGTATTTGTCTCTGCAGACACGTCTCCAAGCCGTGCTGGATGAGTTCAAGCAGCAGGAAGAGCGAGAGAAGCAGCAGGTGAGAAAGCTCACACAACAGAGTGGGAAATACTGGGGCATGAGGCTCAGTTAAAAGGCACAGTTCTAGGTTTGGTCTCTGACACAGTTTCCTAAATTTTGTACCATGTCAGCTGCTTTTGAATTCCAGCACTACAAACCAGGCTGGGTTGTACCTCATCCGTAGCTGTGTGGAGGTTTCTAAGATGCAGACGGGTGTAGGAGCCTTTCCTCTGGAGGAGCAGTGAGCCAAGCCACACCTAGTTAGAAATCCAGGGTTGCTGGGATAAAGCATGACACCGAGACCTCATAGCACCCGTGTACGAGAAGGGTAGAAGCTGGTGCGGCTCAGCAGGTTTCCTGCCCGGTGAACTCTTCTGGCAGTTTCAGTCAGGTGCCGAGGCAGGAGGTTACCCACTTGCCTGCCCAGGTTCTTCTCTCACCCTGCTTCGTGTTGTTCTGCCCAGCAGTGGCTGCAAGGCAGTTGTGTGCCAGCCTGGTTCTCCAAACAGGCCCCTGCTGCACCAGCACGGCTCGCTGTGGTGGGCAAGCAAGGCAGTCACTAGTATAGGTGGAAGGTCCACGCAAGCATAAGGGTTACTGCTTGGGCTTGAGATGCAAGGGGTCCTACCGTGCCTTACTCTGACACCTCGCTCCCTCTTCCCAGATGACCTCTCTGCAGGAGCAGCTGGAATCTCTCATGGAGAAGTGAGGAGCAGTCCTGGCCAGAGCGGGTCTTTGTGCCTCTGAGCAGGCCTGCTGCCATGCTGCTTCATCCCCCGTGCTGAAGTCTGTTCTGGTCCCACACCTCTGCTGCCAGAAGTGCTTCTGGGCAGCGCTAGAGGCTCGGTGTCCAGAGCTGCTCTCATGTACCTCATGCCGGGTTCAGCTGGTGGGGCTAAAGGAAAGAATTAGACTGCCTGTGAGAGCAGCAGAAACACGCGGGTTTACTGTACCTATTGAGGGCCATTCTCCCAAAGGGGTTTAATTCGCTGGGCCCGTGCCGTACAGCTTTCTGCATCTCATTGGCTGTTGGACTTGGGCTCTGGCCCGCTGGGAGCTTGTTTCTGTGTTTGGGGACTGTTTGTATCTGCAAACCAGATTCAATAAAGCACCATTTACAGCCCTGTTCTGTTCCTTGATGTTCTCCAGGAGCCAGGTGAGTGATCCCTCTGGTGCTCACTGCTCAGCTTGTGCCTGACTGCACGGAGTTCCTGGCTGGTGTTTGCACCAGCACTGCTGGGCTCCGGCCTCGTAAAGGCTCCTCGCGTGGTTGCGTCAAAGGGAGACTGCATTGCGAAGGGGACTTCGCAAGCTCTCAGCCTGCTGAGGGAATGAAGTCCTTCTGATGAGGGAGTTTCTTTAATTCCTCACAGACTAGGCAGGCAAATCCCAGATTAACCTGGCAGGGTGGGAAGCGGATTAGAGAAGCAGTCCCAGGCCGCAGCTGGCAGAAGGCGACAGAGGGTATCTTAGGCATCAGTGAGGGGGTGCCTCGGCATGAGGGCTCGTCTCGCAGCCTGAGGGGGAGAGGAAGGAGAAGAGGCTGCCCTGACGGTGGGAGCACCCAGCCCCCTGTGCAGCAAGCAAAAGGCCCGTGGCAGCTCTGGGAGATGACACATGGGGCCATATAGTCAAGAAAGGAAGATGCCCTGAGGAAGAGGCTCAGCTCGGGAAGGGCCAGCACGTGTGACCTGGGCCTGGGGGCGGCAGGAACTGGCCATGGAGGAAACCTACCTGCTGAATGTGGAAGGCGTCAAAAAGAAGATTTTACACGGAGGCCAAGGGGAGCTGCCCAAGTTCCAAGATGGGAGCAAGGTAAGCATGGGTCGTTGCCTCAAAGCCCGGAGAGAAAGGGGGAAGGCTGGACAACTTCATCCCCACCCACAACCCCAGGCTTGGGTTCCCAGTGGCTGTACCCTGCTCACGAGCTGAGCTCCAGGCCTGTGGTACCGGGAGACCCCACGCAAGGTGGGTGCACCTTGCTGAAACCCCAGGCTTGGGTTCCCAGTGGCTGTACCCTGCTCACGAGCTGAGCTCCAGGCCTGTGGTACCGGGAGACCCCACGCAAGGTGGGTGCACCTTGCTGATACCCATCTGCTCCCTGCGAGGGATGCGGAGCTCAGCAGCCACGGCAGGTTGCTGCAAATCTGCCTCCCTTTCCTGACGCATATCAAGCAGGAGCGGAGGTGCCAACAGGGAGCACTGGGGGGGGGGGGGGGGGGGGGTCTCGGCAA